CTTGTACAGAAAACGGCAATACAATTGTTATGGATGGAACCGGTAGTCTGAATAAGAGACATTGTACATCTCCCCCCAAAACTTACCATTATGAATTTGTTTAACTTCCTGCAATTGCAAACTTTTACACAAAAAATCCAACGACTAATTTGAGAAAGTGAGGAGGAAATAAGGGTAGGCCCGAACCAATCCTGGTTCAACACTAGCCGATTACGGGTCATGAGAAGGCAGGAAGGGGGAACTTGTTCTGGTTCAACACTAACTGGTTATAGGTCATGGAAAGCAGGGAATCAGAACCGTTAACAAGAATAATCAAGTTCAGTTCTGGCCTTGTTCTCAGGGTGGTTGCGGTCTAGTATTTTGCCTATAAAAAGGCAGGAACCAGTCCGGTTATACATTGGAGGAATCAGAACTGGACCTGATTTGGTTGAGTTCCCAATTCAGTTCAGCCTGGAAAATTGCTCTGGTCTGTGGCCAAAAACTGACTGAACTGATCCAGGGTAGTCCCAGAAGTGGAACCGGGCCCAGTCCTACAAAGACATGACACAATTACTTGTTGGAAAAATGTTGTTTGTACACATCATTTTACACGTCTGCCAAAAAAAGATTAAAGATGTACTTGAGTAAGATGTTCTGGATTGCCTAAAAAAGATTAAAGATGTACTTGAGTAAGAATTTTGTACAAAGAAAAAAAAGTCTAGGTAGTAAGTAGTGTTCGGAGTAAACTGGAGAACAATCAAATGAAGAATAAATGTCAACCAAAAGCTTGCCTTCAACTCGTTTGGCGTCATGCTTGATACTTGTGATGCATCTAGCTCCCCAATTAAGAGACATCGGGCTAAGTGTGCATTATTCTGGTCATGATAAAAAGGAAAGACAATTGACAAGAAATTAAAACATTGTGATTAAAAATTTAAAAACTTTCTGCATAGAAAACATTAGCAACAAATGTCTACGTAAGTTAGTAAGTTATGCCCATTATCCATATTAAGCAAAAAACTGATCATATCACAAAGGATATGACTAGATTTAAGTATGTAAATCCATCCACTTGTATGATACATATTTATATTTACTGCAGTTTGTTTAGGTTTCATACAGTGTTGTGTCTTTGTTTAACTTCATATTCATATATGTTTCTTGTTTAATTTCGAAGTGTGCATTTGTAAATGTATATTTGCTCAATACTTTGCACAAATGTCTATGACTGTGCATGAAACAAATGTGTATGACTGTGTGCATGAAATATAATGTAAGTAATAATGGGGAGGGGGCTGTGGAGCTGGGGAGGGGGATGTGGAGCTGGGGAGGGGGCTGGTGGGATGGTGAGGGTTCTGGTGAGCTAAGGAGGGGGCTGGTGGGATGGGGAGGGGGCTGGGGAGCTGGGTAGGGGGCTGGTGGGATGGGGGGGTCTAGTGAGCTGGGGAGGGGCTGGGGAGGTGGCTGGGGAGCTGGGGAGGGGGGCTGGTGGGATGGGGAGGGGGCTGGGGAGCTGGGGGAGGGGGCTGGGGAGCTGGGGGAGGGGGCTGGTGGGATGGGGAGGGTCTGGTGGGATGGGGAGGGGGTTGGGGAGGTGGCTGGGGAGCTGGGGAGGGGGCTGGTGGGATGGGGAGGGTCCGGTGAGTTGGGGAGGGGGGATGGTGGGATGGGGAGGGGGCTGGTGTGGGAGTTGGAGAGGCGGCTGTGACGGTGTTGGGATATCGATTAGAAAGTTTTATAAAAGTTCTGTAATTTATTTTATCTTCACTTCAACTTGCTTAAACTAAAAGATGTTACTGTTTCAAATCTATCACATGAATAAGACTTCTTATAGCTTATAAGAAAAGGCCCTCTCCACTTGAGTTTTATAACCAACCACCAATAAAAAGACAAAGGGATGGGATCATGATAGGAATCCACTAGGTTTTTGGGGATAGAGGGACAAAGTGACTCGACCGTTTAAGTCATCATCTCATATAAATTTTAAATGATATGTTTGATTGAATATGTTACAGAAAGCACTGTGATTATGGATCGTAGCTGGATAAATTCTAGACGGACTAGTGCTGAGTATGAAAATGGAGTGCAAGAGTTTCTAGAATTTGCCCAGAACAAAAAATCTTCCTGACATTAATAATAAATTTTATTGTCCATGTGTTAAATGCATAATCTTGCGACAACTGCATGTTGAGCTTATACGAGAGCATCTTATTTGTGACGGATTTTGTAAAAGCTACACAAAGTGGATTAGGCATGGTGAGTCAGTTGAAATGCCAAGTATGTCTTCACACAAGGAGGAAGTTCGTGGAGATACGTATGATCATATGGATGACATGATACGCGATTTCGGTGTTGAGTCATTTGCACGAGCGCATGTATATGATAAGTTGTGTACTAACGCTGAGTTGCCATTGTATCCGCGTTGCACTAAGTTCACACGGTTGACAACAGTGTTAAAACTTTTCATATCAAAGCAACAAATGGTTGGACTGATAAGAGTTTCACTGAGTTGCTCCATTTATTAAAAGACATGCTACCCGAAGGTAACACATTACCTGACCGGAATTACGAGGCAAAGAAGATTTTGTGTCCGATGGGTATGGAGTACAAGAAAATACATGCATGTCCTAATGACTGTATACTCTATCGAAAAGAGTATGAAGACCTGCACAAGTGCCCTACTTGTGGAGTGTCACGGTACAAAGTTAAGAGCGATGAATGTGATTCTGAAGTGGTGACTACAAAGGGTTCCCCTGCAAAGGTGCTATGGTATCTTCCCATTATTCCGAGGTTAAAGCGACTGTTTGCCAATGCAAATGATGCAAAGAAACTGAGGTGGCATGCAGAAGAAAGCACATTCGATGGCATGATTCGCCATCCGGCTGATGCTTTGCAATGGAAGAACATTGATAAGTTATTTCTTGACTTTGGCAATGAGCCAAGAAACCTGAGACTTGGTCTTGCTTCAGATGGAATGAATCCTTTTGGTAACTTGAGTAGTCAACATAGTTCATGGCCTGTTATGTTGATTATTTATAACTTGAGTCCTTGGTTGTGCATGAAACGCAAATATGTAATGTTATCATTGTTGATTTCGGGTCCAAAACAGCCAGGAAATGACATAGATGTTTATCTAGCTCCTTTGGTTGAAGATTTGAGAATGCTATGGGATGTTGGTGTTGACGTGTTCGATAGTTCTTGCCAGGAGTATTTTAAGATGCGTGCAATGCCTTTTTGCACAATCAATGACTTTCCTGCATACGGAAATTTATCTAGTTATAGTAACAAGGGGCATAAAGCATGTCCTATATGTGCAGAAGACACATGCTACCATCAATTGGTACACGGGAAGAAGACTGCCTACCTTGGTCATCGAAGTTTCCTTAGCCGATATCATCCATATCGCCGACTGAAGAAGGCATTTAATTGATGCACTGAGAATGGAATCGCTCCATTACCGTTGACAGGAAAACAAGTTTATGAACAGGTGAAAGACATAAATGTTGTTTTTGGGAAAAAGAAAAAGAAGATTGTTGATACAAATAAATGGAAGAAGAGGTCTGTGTTCGTTGATCTTCCATACTGGAGCACTTTGGATGTGCGTCATTGTATTGATGTGATGCATGTGGAGAAAAATGTATGTGATAGCATTGTTGGCACACTTCTAAACATCCCAAGTAAGACAAAAGATGGGTTGAAATCGTGTCTCGATCTTGTAGATATGGGCATACGATTACAATTAGCTCCTCAGCCAAAGGGTAAGAGAATGTATTTGCCCCCTGCAAGTCATACATTGTCAAAGGAAGAGAAAAGAAAATTTTGTGAATGTTTGCATAGTGTCAAAGTTCCGCAAGGTTATTGTTCTAATGTGAAGCGATTTGTTTCAATGAAGGACTTGAAGGTAGTTGGTTTGAAATCTCATGATTGTCATGTATTGATGCAACAACTGATTCCTATTGTTATTCGGGGTATCTTACCTGAAAAGCTTAGGAATGCCATTACTAGGCTCTGTTTATTCTTCAACGCCATATGCAGGAAAGTTATAGACCCTAGAAAACTAGGCGACTTGGAGAATGAGGCTGCGGTTGTGTTGTGCCAGTTAGAGATGCATTTCCCACCTTCTTTTTTTGACATCATGGTTCATGTAGTCGTTCATCTAGTAAGAGAGATTAGATTGTGTGGGCCAGTCTATTTGCGGTGGATGTACTCCATGGAGCGATACATGAAAATTCTGAAAGGGTATGTTAAGAATCGACATCGTCCTGAAGCATCTATTGTCGAGAGATGTATTGCAGAAGAGGCCATTGAGTTTTTTACAGAGTATATGGATAATGTGGCATCAGTTGGGATACCTAAGTCTTGACATGATGGTAGATGCGAAGGTGCAGGTATAAGAACCGTGATTGTTAAGTCAAAGAGTAGGGCTGAAGTTCTTCAAGCACATTTGTATATATTGAATCATACAGATGTGGTTCAGCATTACTTATCTGCTCATAGGACTTTTGTGAGAAACAAATACCCCCGCATGAATGAAAAGTGGTTGATGAATGAACACAACAAGACTTTCACAAAGTGGTTCAAAGAGGAAATTATCAACGAGAGCAGTGCTTGTGATAAGTTGAAGTTTTTTGCTCTAGGGTTAAAGTTTGATGTGTTGTGCTGGAGTGGGTATGACATTAACAAATGTTCTTTCTACACAAAGTTCCAAGATGATAAGAGTACCATGCAGAATAGTGGAGTCATGGTTGTTGCTGAAGCCATGCACTTTTCGAGTGCGAAAGATAAGAACCATATTCTTGCATCCATAGCATACTTTGGAGTAATTGTAGACATTTGGGAGCTTGATTATTGTGGGCACAGAGATGTTGTCTTCAAATGTAAGTGGGTTGACAGTAAAAGTGGTGTCAAAACCACTGACTTAGGTATGACATTGGTGGACTTAAATAAGCTATCATATACGGAAGAACCTTTCATCATGGCATCTCAAGCGAAACAAGTTTTTTATGTGACTGATCCTTCTAATAAAAGGTGGTCAGTAGTTTTGCAAGGTAAAAACCCTCATGTAAGTGATGAAAACTCTGACTCATTTGAGGACCTTTCTACATATCCATTGTCAAATCTTAAGTCAACGTTCATTGACGATACTGATGAATTGGATGACGTGCATGCAAGTCGTAATGATCACGATGAAGGGATATGGGAAAATATTGATATTGGTCAAGATATTGATAAGGTGTTTTCTTAGTTATCTATTTTTTTAATTATGCATTTCTATTCATGCTAAATATACATTATGAAGTAAATAAATTTAACTAATTCTTTTATTTATTTATTTTCACAGGAAAATGAGTGATCCTCACATACCTCATACTAGCACTGGGTCAGATCTTGATCAATCTTCACCCAAAAAAAATCTGGCAGAGGCTGCACGCGTTTACCAGATTTGACTCTCAATCGCATTGGTATGTGATTACTTTTAACATTATGTTATTCATATATTACTACGTGGACATATGCACTCTAAATCAATGTGTACACATGTAGCTGATCAACGCTTACCTATTGAATTTGACGATCATTGGAGACCTATTGGGCCAAACTACAAGAAGTACAATAGTTACTTGGCATTACTTGGGCGTAGTAGGGCCAGTATCTTACGTGAAGATTGGCCGGATGTAGAGGAAGCTGTGAAAAATCAGATTTGGCATGAGCTTACGGTATTTTTTATTGTTACAATGACATCAATTATATCATATCAAAACATTCATTAATGCTAATGTTTATTTATAATGTAGCTTACTTATGATGTTCCAAATAATCATAAGTTGAAATGGAAAGTGATCTCATATGCTGGTGAGCGATGGAGGGCATTTAAGACTTATCTTACTTCTACGTATGTGTATGGAACCAATAGTGACAAATCACCATGTGAAGTTTATCCATTAATTGATGATGAAACATGGTCTGAGTTTCTTAAGAGCCGGTTAGAGCCCGCGTTTCAGGTTATATTTAGTTATTGCATTCTACATTAATAATATTTAAGTTTAGTATGAGATGCTCTTAATTGTTATTAAAAAATACTCTTAATTGTATTACATACAATGTTGTATAGTTGCTTAAACTTATAAGTCTAATATAGTTGCCTATTGTGATAGGAGAAAAGAAGAAAGGGGATAGACACTCAAGCACACAACGTCCACCCGCACAGAATGTCTCGTAGAGGGTATGCACTCCTTAAAAAAAGCTCAAAGAAGAACAATTGAGGAAACAGATGGAAGAATCACAATCTGACCCTTCAGTGTTGCTTAGTGACCCACCATCCCCGCCTAGGGTGCAAACTTGGAAAGCAGGTCGAGTGAACAAAAATGGAGTGTTTCTTCGTCAAGAGACAACTTAAGTTTCTGAAAAGATGGTAATACTTTTCTTGTTGTTTAAGTTAAGATAACTTATGGTGTTTTGAATTGGTGCTTACGTGGTAAATGTTTGACACGATTTGTTAGAGAAACAACAGAGTGAAGGAACATTTGTTCCTGAACGGCGTAATGATATAATCACCACCTGTCTAGGTCCAGAGCACTCTGGTCGTGTACGCACTGCTGGAAGAGGTGTTGGTCTTAGAGATTTCTATCCGTCGTCATCCCGTAAGAGTACTGACTCGAACGAGAAGTTGAAAGAGGTGATAGAGACTTTGAAAAGAGACTTCCAAGAAGAATGGAAAAGAGACTTCCGAGAACAATGGAAAAGAGAGGTTTATAATGACATGCGTGTTGATCTTCTTAAGGAGCTTCGCCAAGAAATGCAAGAAAATAATACCTCTCATTCTAAGGAAGAAGATCATATCATTCTGAGGCGTGTAAGCACGGGAGGAAGTAATTTTGTGCCTGAGTTTGATGATGGTGATGAGAGTGACGACGACAATGATCTTCACGAGTTGTTCATTGATACCCCGCCTCCCCACCGTTTAGTTGCAAAGGGAAAGATACATGATTTTGGAGATAAAATTCATCATCAAACGGTTGGCTTGGGAAATGTGAGAGTGGAGGTAGTTAAAGTTCTAGAAGCAAATGCTCCAGTCCCAATTCCAAGTGGAGAGGTTCAAACGGCGGGGCAAGCTCCTAAGAACTTCATTGCATGGCCAAGAAGACTATTAAAGGATGTCAAAACGCAGGTTCCATTACTATATATTATTGTTAATGTTTAAACTTTTATGCAATTTTCATTAAAAAAGTAATTGTGCATTGTTATTTTATATAGGATAAAAAGGATACACCTAAGTTCAAGTCCAAAGGTGTAGATGATCCTTTGTCGAGTTTGTGTTTATTTGCTAAGAGCTTGGGGTCAGATACTGTACCAATGTATTTGCCCGAAGATGTGATAGGACGTGCCCCTATAGTAAGCCATTGTAGTTTTAGAGAATTGGTTGAAGTTTCCATGGGTAGAGATCTCCTTAGTGCGATTATTTTACAAGTGTGGATATTGTAAGTTATCTCTATTTTAGGTTTATTCAAGTTTACTCATTAGATTAGTTAAAATAGCATTTTATTTACTTGAACCTTTTTGTGTTAGGTATCTACACCGCTTGTGCATATCCAGAAATATTGGTCATGTGTATGGATTCATTGATCCACACACCATTCAAGGAGTAGGCAATTCTTTAAATGAGGTGAAAACGTATATATCTACAAGATTAAATGAAGGTGGAAAGCAATGTTACTTGGCTCTTTATTACTACCAGTAAGTAAAAGTTACTAGAACACATACTTGGCTCTATGTACCCCTATGTACTATATGTTGTATAAATAAATCACAAATTTACTTCATGGTTCTCCATAAAACACTATTTTATAATTTTAAGCATGAAAATGGTGCATTTTCTCACTCTTGTATCCTTAGTTAATGAATTAATGTCTTTTAGAAACGTTCTGAGATCATATGATCTAGGTGATATTCTGAATATGATACTTTATGAGCTAATGTTTCTTGAATGAATAGATAAGATTTATTTGTTTATTGTGGGTGGGGAGCTGGGGAGGAGGCTGGGGAGCTGGGGAGGGGGCTGGTGGGATGGGGAGGAGCTGGGGAGGGGGCTGGGGAGCTGGGGAGGGGGCAGGGGAGGTGGCTGAGGAGCTGGGGGAGGGGGCTAGGGAGCTGGGGAGTGGGATGGGGAGCTGAGGAGGGGGCTGGTGGGTTGGGGAGGGGGTTGGGGAGGGGGCTGGGGAGCTAGGGAGGGGGCTGGTGGGATGGGGAGGGGGCTGGGGAGCTGGGGAGGGGGCTGGTGGGATGGGGAGGGGCAGGGGAGGTGGCTGAGGAGCTAGGAGGGGGCTGGGGAGCTGGGGAGTGGGATGGGGAGCTGAGGAGGGGGCTGGTGGAGAGGGCTGGGGAGCTGGGGAGCTGGGGAGGGGGCTGGGGAGCTGGGGAGGGGGCCCGGGGAGCTGGGGAGGGGGCTGATGGGATGGGGAGGGGCTGGGGAGCTGGGGAGTGGGTTGGTGGGATGGGGAGGGGGCTGGGGAGCTGGGGAGGGGGCTGGTGGGATGGGGAGGGGGCTGGTGGGATGGGGAGGGGGATGGGGAGCTGGGGAGGGGGTTGGTGGGATGGGGAGGGGGCTGGGGAGCTACACCTTTTCAGATTGTTATTCCAAAAGGGTCACTTTAGTCATGCAAGAGAAATATTGCAAAGTTGATACTTGATATAACTCCTTGGCTAAGAGGAACTAGCGGGTAATGCATTCTTTGCTACAAGTGTTTCCTTAGATGGATAAGATGTTAGAGTAAGATTTTCTTTTAGATGTTAGAGTAAGAAGTGTACACTATAGTAAATATTTTTTTATGTATTTTTTTTTTAAAAATTATTGTTTGTCTTTTATCCTTTTTTTTATGTATACAGGAATCATTGGCAGCTCTTTATTCTCTCTCCTATCTAAAATACTATTGTCTTCTTGTGTTCTTTTGGGAATAAGCCAAATACACAATTCAAAAATATTATTGATGCGTAAGTATTTTGTACATTCCATTTTAATATCTTAATTACATAAATAATTTGTTATTATTATATATATATAATATTATAAATTACATAGTGCAATGGAGGCAAGCCGCAGACTCAACTCAAGAAAGGGAAGAGTGAAATGGATTATTCCTATGGTAAATACTTACTACTTTACTTTGTATGTTATTTCTACTTTCATTTGTGTAGCACCAAGTCGAATACAGTAATTTCTGTAGTAAGTATGTTGTTCTAATTTGTAGTCTCGGATGCAAGTTGGGAGTTATGAATGTGGTTATTATGTAATGTTGCATATGTTGAATATTGTTTCGGCAGTAATTCTTGAAATGTGGGATGAGGTACATTATTATTTTATTTACATTCAATAGGTTTGCTCCACATGTAATGTTTTTTAATAACCTTCTTATTTAATTTGTAGCGATTCGTCAATCCGGAATCATTCTCATCAGAAGAGATTGATGAACTACGGACTCGTTGGGCATCATATTTTTTAGAAATGACGCAATCCATCAACGACACATGATGAACGTGTTTGTTTAAGTTTTTGAGTGATGATGTTAAACAAGTACAATGTGTTATTACTCTAGACTTGTGCAAGGATTGTTTTATTTTAGCTTGTTATTATGTACTAAGTTGTTACTTGAACTTGTTTGACATTTGTGGAAGAATTGAAAAATAACTTGTGTTATTGTTTTAGATGGATCAAGTGAACAGGTGAAAAATTGTGCTATAGTAGTTGATGATATTGTTAATGATGTGATTATAGTATAAACATGGGTCATATTGCAAAATTTTTTCATGAAAAATACCGAAAAATTGAAGCTTTTCGCATCAGTTGTGAAATAACCGATGTGATTGCTTTTCTACATGGGTTATAACCGATGTGAAACACATATGTTCCGAAAAAATGAAGCTTTTCACATCAGTTGTGAAATAACCGATGTGATTTCTTTTTTACATGGGTTATAACCGATGTGAAACACATATGTTCCGAAAAACAACGAAGTTTTTCACATCAGTTGTGAAATAGCCGCTGTGATTTCTTTTTTACATGGGTTATAACCGATGTGAAAAACGAATGCTCCGGGAAAAATTAAAGCTTTTCTACATCAGTTATAAAATAACCGATGTGGTTTCTTTTTTACATGGGTTATAACCGATGTGAAATATCATTAAAAGCGCCATTTCGGACTATCTTCTAGATCGGGCACTAAACGACTGATGTAGAAAGAATTTTCACACCGGCTGTTTGACCGATGTCAAAAGTCAATACTTTTCACATGTGCTGGAACCACATCGGCTGTTTGACCGATGTGAAAAGCCTTTTTTGACCGATGTGAAAAGCCTTTTTTGTACTAGTGCCTGAAACAGTGAGGTGGCCTCCCCCCGTGAAGGGGAGGTCAGTACTTTGAAACATTTGAAAAGTACAATGACAACTACACTGAATATAATCAATGTTTCAATTTCTAAGACCCTCAATCTAGGGTGATATTATATTATAGGCCATAACCCTTGGTTACCCCGTTTTACAAATATACTTACTTTACATAAAGTCAAGTATTCGGCCCGTAGGCCCATATTCATTTAGAATTCGCCATATCTATTCCCCGTGACCCCAAGTCACGACAACTCATATAGTTCATCATGCCAAGATTTCATGGCAAGGGCTCGGCCCGACTACATTTCTATGATATCCGTTAGCCAAAATTCAACGCATCACTATTGCATAGCAAGGGCTCGACCCCACTACATTTCTATGCAATCTTACAATTTCATTACAAGGGCTCAGCCTAACTACGTTTTCATGATATTCACTAACACGTGGCAAGGGCTCGGCCCAACTACGTTTCCATGATATTCACTAACACATGGCAAGGGTTCGGCCCAACTACGTTTCCATGTACTTCACAATTACATGACAAGGGCTCGGCCCAACTATGTTTCCATGTAATTCTAGAGTCCGGCTCCAATTCATCATTTTAGTCCGATTCTAAAAAAAAATCCTATGCTTAGAATCCATTCACTTAGAGTAACCTTTAAGGCTTACCCCTAACATACCTTAGAGCTCATACAATTCATCCTTAAAGTATCTCTTAAGACAACTTAAGGCACCACTATTCATATTCCAATCCCTTAGGATTAATTCCATTATCATTCACATCAATCTCCCGACTAGTATTTCAATACTAGTCGGATAATCCTAGAACAACCAAGCTCATAATTCATAGTCCAATGATTCATTTCCAATGACTTTCCAATCCAAATATAATTTATTCACAATATCAAAAATATCCCTTTTTCCATTCATCAATTCTTTACATGAAGTAAAAGTATATTTTATCACAAATTTTGATAGTAAATTCCTACTATCATGCTATCATATTCATAACACATAATCATACAAAATTTCTCTAAATTTGTATATCATGCTTCATTTACTCATATGCAATAGTATCTTCATTTAGGCAGTATTAATCATTAATAATCCATGAAAATCACATTTTTCACTTTAGATAATATTATGAAATTAACCCAACAATTATAATCAATATAGTTAGTCATCCTCACCTCGAATGAGCTTTAAGAAGTTCTACCGTTCTCGGTTGAACTCCGACGAAACTCCGGCGAACTCCGGCGATACTCCGGCGATACTACGGCGATACTACAGCGTTTTATCAAGCTCCTAACAAGGTTTTATCATCACAAAACCCATATCAACACAAATAACCTCTAAAAGGTTATTTTCCGGCGAACCGATCAATTGGCTTCTAAGTCCATTCTTAGACTTAAAACTACCTTCCAACCCCTTGTTCTATACTTCTAAACATGTAGAACAATTATATGGGTCCTCCATATGCTATATAAGTCATAAGATAAATAAGAAGTAGAGGAAAAGTTATTATAAAGTTATTACCTTAATCCTTCACACTTTTCCTAACTTTTTTCCTTCTTTTCGCTTCTTCCTTGGACCAACTTTGCTTGAGCTATGTTCTTGGCTATGGAGGAAGTAATTTGAAGAGGTTTTCTTCCCCTCTTGGTGATCTTTGGTCGAGCATATGGGGTGGGGGTGATTGAGAATGCCTTTTTCACTTTTTGGCATTTCTCTCAATCATACATAAAAGGGGTCCTACCTCCTTTAATGCTTGGTCTCTCAATTCATTTTCTTTCATGCATCTAGTGGATTTTGAGGATCCTCAATGCTAAATGCAAGACTAGAAAACGTGGTTCGGCCCCCACATAAGTGGGAGGTCACCCCTTTGAGTCCAGAAGTGGACAACCGACCCCGAAAGTTGTATTTCGCGGACTGTTTTATTTATATTTTATTTTATCGGGTCAAATAAAATATAACACATGTTCCAAATCATTAAATGCCTTTAGAATGGATGTACATTCCCCAACTTTTATTTAGAAGTCTCCGAAATTCATTTCGGGCTGTTATCCGATAAATTACCAATCCCGGTAATTGGGCCTCGTTTGACCAACGGGTCAACTCTATGCCTTTTCTATGGCTTAACTAAAATATCCACCACCATATACATCATATCTATATCAAGACGAATATAATATGTGGTTCTAGAATTATCGGGTGGTCCCCATTCCCGGTGCGGGCCCCGCGTGCGATTTACTATTCACGCAAAAGATATAACAAAAATTTACAACTTCGCAAATTCATAATTCATTCTTCAAGGTTTATTGCATGATTTACTGAAAAGTAAAATATGTTTGGGGACGGTGTTACATGAACTCTGGGACATTGTTGGAGATGACTGAGCTCAGGTGAATGTTGAATGCAACCTTGAGCTTCCATCACTCTCCTTACTCGAGAAAGTCACAGTAAAGTTTCCTCCTTCAGGATTTTGTTATTCATTTTCTACCCAGCTCCAGCTCCTTCCCTCTTCGAATATCACATCTTTGATCACTATTATCTTCCTTTCTGTTGGTTCTAAGAGTCTGTATGCCTTAGAACCTTCTTCATATCCAAGCAACACAGTTGTAATGCTCCTATATGCTATCTTAAGTGGATGTGGTGTGACAATCTTTGCATGAGCAATACATCCAAACACCGTAAGGTGATATACCTTAGGAACTTTTCCATGCCAAGCCTGGTATGGAGTCATTCTATCCACCCCTTTTGTTTGAGCTCTGTTCAGAATGTATACTGCAATTCTGACAGCTTCTCCCCAATACTGTGCAAGCACTTTCTTACTTTTCATCATACTTATTGCCATCTACATCACATTTAGATTTCGCCTCTCTATTACCCCATTTTGTTGGGTGAGTAGGGTGCAATATAAAACCTTTTCACACCTTCCATCTCACAGAATTCTTTAAAGGTTGTTGACATGAACTCACCTCCTCTATCAGTCCTCAAACCTTTTATCTTTGTTTCAGTTTCTATTTCAACACAGGCTTTAAACTTCTTGAATACATTGAAAGCCTCGTCCTTACTTTTTAACAAGGAAACCCACATAAACCTTGAAAAATCATCAACTAGCAACATGAAATACCTGTTTCCTCCATATGTTTTTGGTGAGATTGGGCCACAAATGTCTCCATGAACCAGTTCCAGTTGTTTCCTTGCCCTGAATGATGAGTGCTTTGGAAATGAGCTCCTGTGTTGCTTGCCTATAACACATCCATCACACACTTGGTTCACCTGGTCAATCTTGGCCAGTCCTTGCACCATACTATGGATCTTGCATGTTCCTTAAGGAGTGAAAATTCAGGTGACCATACCTTGCATGTCATAACCATCCTTCATCATTGATGTTTGCCAGAAGGCATACATTCTTTGCTAGATGAAATTTTTCCACATACAGTCTATTTGATTGTATGTTTACCTTAACAATCACTCTCCCCTTGTCATACACCTTGAGGCATCCACCTTCTATGACAATGTGACTGCCTCCTTCATCTACTTGTCCAATACTTAGAATATTACTCCCGAGTTTTGGTATATAGTAGACCCCAGTCAGTGTCAAATGTTCCTCATTCTTGCATTGTAGGAGCATGGAGCCTCGACTACATATTTCTGCAACTGAGCCATCCCCAAACCTGACCTTTCTTTTGATGGATTGATCAAGTTCTGAGAACCATTGCATGTCTCCTGACATGTGATTGCTTACTCCGGTGTCCAAGTACCATGTGACTTCTTTACTCATCATGTCCCTTGACCTGTTACTTTCCTCATGTAGCATTGCAACTGTTTGCATTTCAAGGTGTGAACTCCCTAGTTCACATGTCTCTACCATTAACAAGGAGATTTCTTCCTCTTCTCCTTGTTGTTCAGTCAGATGAACCTTTTCTTTTTTCCCTTATGGCTGGCATTCACTTGCAAAATGCCTCACTTTCCCACACGCATAACACTTGATCTTGGTTTTATTAAACTTGCTTTTATGCACACCTGAACCTCCCTCATCTCCTGAGGGTATGGAATCTCCTCTACCTCTATCTCTTCCTCTTCCACGACCACGGCCACGACCCCTACCTCCCCTAGTATTCCCTTGATCTCTAGGGGGTTTCTTAGGGGCCTTTGCTTCCTCTCTGACCTTCCACTCAGCCTGTGTCAAGAGGACAGTCTCATCTTTGTCACCAAAGCCATGTAATCTTTCTTCATGTTCTTTGAGTGACCCTATGACTTCATCAGTTGTCTTGTTTTGCAGATCACCAAACTCCTCAATAGTTGAGGCAATCTGCAAAAATTTTGATGAGGTTGACCGCAACAGTTTCTTCACCACTTTGATTTCTTCCACCGAGTTCCCAAAGCCCCTCAACTGAGTGACAATAATGTTGAGTTTCCGAGAAATGTCGTCAATAGGTTCTGAGTCCTTCATCTTTAAGGCTTCAAACTCCCTCCATAGAGTTTGAGTTCTCACCTCCTTCACCTTGTCAGCACCAAGATGCATGTTTTTCAACATGTTCCACGCCTCCTTCGCAGTCGTCTTGGCCCCAAGTTGGAGGATAGTGTCTTCTCCTATGCCTTGATAAATGTAAGCTAAAGCCATCTTGTCTCTCTTGTTGTCCACTACGCCTTGTGCTTCCACAACATCCCATACACCTTGAGCTATCATAAAGACCTCCACGTTTATGGCCCAAGCTGCGTAGTTGGATCTTGTCATTTGTCAACATAGGGTACTTCAAAGTGACTGAATCTTCCTCAGTTGTGTCTCCTTGTGTCATGCTTGAGTGCTTTGATCACTAAGGCTCTGATACCAAATGTTAGCAATAGAGGAAAATAAGCACTCGTTCTTTCTTTCTTCTTTCTCACTAGCTACGAACTTGCAGTTTTTTTAAATGATGTGTAGCTCTTATGGCTGCATCACCTTTTATTAATATTCATATACACTTGAGAAACAAAGTGGAAGCTACAAAGTAAGAGTTGATGCTACATGTTAGCAACTAACCCCACTAAGAAGGTGCACAACCCGCACCTCTTATTTACCAAGTCAAGACTTTAACTACCTCCTATTAATAATCTAGCTACTTTATTATGAATTTCCCTTATTTCTTATGTGGCTTCTAGATTAAACTAACATGCCATGCACGCATGTTTTACGTAGGAATTAAACAAGTTTAAAATAAACTATCATCTCCTTCGCGGCTCTGCCGCTTTAATTTTGGCATCATCACTTCGATGGCCACCCTCACTGAAAAGGAAAGCTCCAGGTCTGTCGTCCCCGTCTGCAAGATCAGAAAATTTGTTACAGAGGCACTTGGTCAGCTGGTCGCGAGCAGTCTAAATTGGGCACTGCGGTCACCACCGTCTATGGTCCTGATGTCACTACACTGCTGCTAGCGATGAATCCCCCGATGCTCTTCCCCTCCTGGCCAAATCGGCGACATCCTCTTAAGCTGTCAAGACAAAGGTGGGTATATGCACTATAATTTTGATTCTTTCTATGTGGAAAACTAAGTAATCAAGCTAAGGGTCAATAGGGTGCATGAGTCTGAGAGAATGGACAACTCTCTGACAAGTTGATGGTCATGATAACCCCAACCCAATACATCATTTTTTGGCCCATTATTGATCCATGATGGTGACATTTTTGGGCGGGAAACTCACCAAATTTCCACTCCTTTTTATTTTTATATAGAGATAGATTTTGGTTCAAACTCATTCAAATCAACTTAAGCTCGAATCACTTGAGTGATGTTTCTCCAAACATAAATGTTTGTTGAATAATAGACCGAATTTTAGAGATTTGAGCCCATTTTGAACTGAAATGACTTTGTGAACATAGCACTTCAAGTAATGGGAGCTAGATAGTCTCAATATTTAATTTCTTAGCCCATTTCATACTCTTGTTTGACATTTCAGTCTAGCTTATTTCATCCACTTTAGAGTGAGTACTAGACAAACACATATCCTTATTCATCAATCATCATTACATTTGTAATACATAAGTGAGTATATAATTGTGAAACCCTTTTTCTTACTTTTAATTCTGAGTCGCATCATCTAACTTAGAGACACGGTGTACGACGTCGTCAAGAATCAACGACAGGTCATTCAGCTTCCTCATCAGCATGTCCACGAAAGCCGCATCCACGTGCCCAATAGCGGTTCGGCACGCGTCAGCCGAAGCCACGGCTCTACCGAGCGCGAACTTCAACGGCGGCCAAGAGTACGAAACGGTCAACGGCGCCCGGCGGAGCCGATTAAGGCGGCTGCTCAACTCGCTCAGGTTTTCAGCGACGCCGTCGGCGCAGGTGCTGAGGCCCACGGCGTTCTCCGGGAACTGGAGGCTTTTGAGGTTGACCAGCTTGCCGACGAAACCCTTGACCGCTTTGACTTCTTGGATCCCCAGCGCTATGGCGTCCTGCGCCAGTAGCTTCGGCTCTTCTTTTTGGCGCATGCAGTCTTGGGCGTACGGCGGAGATCCTCTGCCGGCGGCTGCTCCGGCCAGAAGTGCCAGTGCAGTCAACGAGTAGCCGACGAGAATGACCATAAAGGATGTTTGTTTTGCCGCCATCTTCGATGATTAATAATACTACTACTACGTATATGAATTGAAGTATGGTGTATCAATATATTCTAGGACGTATTAGAGTTATATATACTTCGTATATACGGAGTTTTTTTTACCAGTACTTTTTTAGTTACGTTATGGGTGAATTTCACAATTTTGTTTTTACAGAAACACATCATTTGAATTTTAAATAATAATACACAAAAGACACAATGTATATTCTAAATGATTTAATGTGATCAAAGGTTGAGTTTTTTTGGGAAGAGATCAAAGGTTGAGATTTGAAATTCTATTTCGTAAAAATTTCTCATATTAAGTGGGATTCTCACTATAAAGAAGTAAAAAACAACTCTTATGCAAATATGAATTTTACACTCATTAGTTGACACACAAAAAATGCTGTCGGCCGGATTGACGGATTCACCAACAACCTCACAAACACACATTTGCTCTCCATCCCCCCCCCCCCCCCCCCCCCCCCCGACTGATACGTACACCCATGATCCATATGACCTTATAAATACTTACCTTGTGCGTTATATACTCCGTGTCTTTCTACATATGTTCACGTTTATTCCGTGAACCCAAATAAATTACACTTACCCCCAGTGATTTGTCAGACCCAGAGATTTGTAAGAGTAGAGTCACAGATTTTTATCTTAATTGCTACTAGTGAAATTCCAGGTCTGAAGTGGGGGCACTGGGTTTTACCTTAAGTGCTACTAGTGAAATTTCGGACCTGAAGCGGGGCACATGTCCCCCTAGCCCCCCTTAGGTCCTCCACTGCACGTACCCTTGGATCTCGAGTGGGAAGTTTTGGTGGATTAAGGGATTAAACAAGCAAGAGAAGGGTTATTCAGTCATTGTCCGTAGAAGGTAGCCGTATCTTATTAAGTCTCGATAAGAAGCCGAATACAATGCACTTCGCTACAAAGCTCTGAGGCCGTTCGTCTAACATTATGCTAAGAATTGATTACAAATGCAACGAGTGCTAAGTTCCAACTTCTTTCAATGAAATAAATGCTATTATTTATACTAATAAGAGGTAGGTGACGTTGCTGACGTGGAGGGTTGTGGATGGCTAGCTCACAACCACCAAATCTTCTGAATTAAATGTTGTTCCCGTCAATATGGTGGAAGTCTTTCACAGCTTCTTCAAACTGTCCCCCTCGTTGATAACCTTCATATCTTGCTCATCTCATTTTCCTCTTTTTCTATGACTTCATATCTTGCTCTCAAAAGGGAAACATTTGGATCTGTCTATGTGTTGTTTCATGGAAGCAATCGAGATGGATAATGAAGAGGATCTATAATATTATTAATTGTAAAGTATTGAATCGTTTCCAGATTTGTTTTTCATTTAATGGAATTAGTCTAGCTTCTTTAATTGATGAATGTTGTACTCCATTTGGTAATTCATTTGGTTCTATGGTTGTTCAACCAATAGCTGGTGTGCCCTATGTTGTTAATAGTGATTTAGTTAATTTCAATGGAAGTGTTTTAAGAACTTTATTTCAGTCTTCACGGTTTTTTCTCTAAGACTTGCATATGTCTTATCTTTTTTGCAGGTCTTTTAATAAAGAGCCTCTGTTTGCAAAGATATAAGAGCCACTTTCAGGCTTCAGCGGGACTTTAAGAAGAACCATTCAACTTTATTTAGTCTTAAGGTGTCCTTTTTGTAGGCATATTGATGAGTTTTTTTGCTAGTCTTTACTTTCTCTGTGAATGTTTCTTGTATTTAGTTTCTTAACATGTATTTTGAATTTCTGTGTATATACCTTTTAGGAAAACGAAGTAATAATACATTGGTGGTTATTTAAATAACCAACCTAGTGCGTCTCTATTTTTTTAATAAAAAAAGCTTACAACGTTGATTTTATTTGACAACCGACGCAATATGTATTTTTTTATTTTTTTTTGGAATTATCTTCAACGTTGGTTCTGACAGACAACCGACGTAATCTATATTTTTTTTTTATTTTTTGAAATTATATTTGACGTCGGTTTTTCATCGTAACCGACGTGGTAGGTTATGTTTAATTTTTTAAAGCTCACTTATTACGTCGATTCTTTAACTGACGTCAAATGTCCTTACCTTTTACGTCTCTTACTTACACGTCTGTTAGAAAACCGACGTGAAAGGTATGAAATAACCGACGTGGAATGTCACTTTTGTAGTAGTGATATCTTGGTTTCCCGTTGATAGAGTATATCGACTCGGACCCCCGGGTCTCACGACTATTGGGCCCGGACAGCGGCCCACGTATGCTCAGTAGATAGCATTTATGTCACGCCCCGGACCTAGCCGGACACGTCAACAACCCGCCGTACAGTACGAATAGTCAACCGCAGTCCAACTCATCCATACTATACAAGGCGTCATGAATATCATTCACACATAGTACATCCATAAACAAACATAATGTAAAACATGCATTTAAAATAGCGGAAGCATTAATACAATTGTGCAAGCCACACTTGGCATAACTAGGCATGCAAGCCCCCAAAGTAATTATTCAGAAAATATTATCCATGAGCATTAATGTAATTGTTTTTAAAATAGAACGGGAGAAGCACGAACCACGTCTTCTTCCCTTGATTTCCTCCCGAAGCAACGGGCAATGGCAGCGACCTTCAAGTCCTACCTGAAACTGTGAGGTGGCCTCCCCCGTGAAGGGGAGGTCAGTACTTGGAAATATTTGACAAGTACAATAGCAACTATACTAAGTATAATCAACGTTTTAATTTCCAAGACCCTCAACTTAGGGTACTATTATATTATAGGTCATAACCCTCGGTTACCCCTCTTTCTTTTAACTGTACTTACTTTACATAAAGTCAAGTAGTCGGCCCGTAGGCCCATATTCATTTAGAATTCATCGTTTCCATTCCCCCGTGACCGCAAGTCACGATAACCCCGTGGGGTCCCATCGAGCCCTAATTGTATAGCATGGGCTCGGCCCAACTACATCTCTATACAATCCCCTAGCTCAATATATCATATCAAAATTTGTATGGCAAGGGCTCGGCCCAACTACGTTTCCATACCAACCATAACCTCGTGGCAAGGGCTCGGCCCAACTACGTTTCCACGGAGGTCACACATACATGGCAAGGGCTCGGCCCAACTACGTTTCCATGCTAATCATATTACATGGCATGGGCTCGGCCCAACTACATCTCCATGTCATCCTAGAGTCCAACTCTAATTATTTTCATAATCTAATTCTCAAGCAAGTCCTATGCCTAGAATCAATTCCCGGAGGTGGCCTTTAGGCCTACCCCTATCACACCTTAGTGTCCATACCATTCATCCTTAAGTAAAGGATATCACTTTAATCCATTCATGAAGTTCATTCATGAAGTAAAGGATATTTTATCACAATGTCATCTTAGTAATTCCATTAACATGCCATTCCATTCATTTCACATAATCATACACAATTATTCTAAATTTGTATGTCATGCTTCACTTACTCATATTCATATTATTTTCATTTAGACATTATAAATCTTTAATAGTCCATGAAAATCCCATCTAATTACTTTAGGCATTCTTATGAAATGAACTCACTAATTATAAGCAATATAGTCAGCCATCCTCACCTTATGATGTGCTGAAATAGTTGCCTTTGCTAAGCCCCTCGATCAATCCCCGTTCTAGGCCGATTGATGGTGTAAAAATGAACTGCAGGGCAAAAGCCGGGCGGCTTTCACGAAAGCCGGGCGGCTTTCGTGGTCTGTAGAAACGGGCAGCTCCCTTAAAGTGGCGGTTTCCGGCGATTTCGACTCCTATCGATTCACCAACTCTCCTAAGTTAAATATCACCACTTTATATCAATATTCTACACTTTTAAACGTGCAGAACATCATGTTTAATCCACCATATGATTTCTTAAAAATCATACCTCATAAAACTAGTTAAAGAGTAGGAATTGTGTTCTTACCCCTTCTCCTAGCTTTCCCTTTTTGATTTCCCTTCATCCTTGCTATTTCTTGAGCTTGGTCTTGATGAGAAGGCCTTCCTAGAGCTCTCTCCTAGTGATAGAGCCGAGTGCTGCACAATGAGTGAGGGGGATGTATCTCCATCCACTCAACTCACCAAGATAATGCATGCATGGACATGGGGTATGGGATTTTGTCTCTTGGAGACTTCCCACCTACTAGGTACACCCCCCCTATTGTTTCCTTGTCATTTGCAGCACATTGGGTCGTGGGGTGGCCCCCACTCATGTGGGAGGTCATCCCCTTATGCCCCGATGTGTATAATCGGCCCCGAAAGTTGTATTTTTCGGACCGTTTTAGTCATATTTTATTTTATCGGACCGGATAAAATATATCCCGCGTTCCCAATAATTATGGGCATTTAGAATGGATGTATATTCCCCAACATTAATTTAGGAGTCTCCGAAACTCATTTTGGGCTGTTATCCGTTAAATTGCCAATACCGGTAATTGGGCCCCGTTTGACCAACCGGTCAACGCCATGCCTTTCCTATGGCCCAAATAAGATACCTACCACTATATACATATTATCTAGACCAAGATGAATATAATATGTGGTTCGGGAATTATCGGGCGGTCCACATTCCCGCTGTGGGCCCCACATGCAATTTACTATTCACGTAAAAGAAGTAATAAAAATTTACAATTACGCAAATTCATCAATCCTCTTTCAAGGTTTATTACATAATTTACTAAAAGTAAATATGCTCGGGGTCGGTGTTACAATTTATCTCATTGTACACTCTATTTATTCATTTGTACCTGTTAGTCCTTGTTTTTGTCACAGCAATGAATAATCGATCTAACAAGGAAGATTAAACGTAAAGATGAACACAGAATGAATAACCGTAAAACCTTCTTTGATAAACCGTGGAACGTACAGCAGAATGATATAAGCGTAAGGCTATGAATAATAAGTACGACGTTCAACCTTTTCCTAAACCTCAGCTCCCTTTTTATAGGCGAGGTTTAGGTTAGGCGAAACAGGCTTTTGGCCTGTTTAAATGGGCCTAACACTTGGCCTGATTTCTATCTAATTTATGCACTATTTA